GTACTGTTAGACATTCGGGTTTGCTGGCGACAAATATATTAAAGTTTTCATATTGTTGGTCCATCTACAGGCATAATTTGAGAAACAGAATTCTGCCGCTAAAAGCTTTGAAAAGAACAAATACGATTTCTGGCAGCTTAGAAGAAGAAAGGGGAACATCTGCATACTCTAAATTTATATTAATGCTCCATTGTATTATGGTAGTTCTATGGTTTAATCAGATGTTAGTACATTATTTTATAAAATTTATATATATATATTCCATTATATCTTTATATTACACGCTTTCATTAGCATCCTAAATGTTACGACAGGATCTCATGTAATTTTTGGACTAGCGCACCAATGCTGGCTTTTAAAATGACATACTGTGAACTTTACGAACCAGTTGCCGATCACAGTTGAGGTTCACAAGAAGAGGATTTCTTGAGGTACATTGGAATAAGAAGTACATTGTTTCAACGTTCCATTCCTTACAAGAGGTACATCGGAAATCGAATTGAAAATGAAATGTGGATCTTTTTTTAATTTCAATCTTTTTAGAACAATTTTATATTTATTACACACTGAAAATGTATTTTAAAACAAAGCAAAAATAACTTAATCCATCGATAATAATGCAAATTCTCGCAAGTACGAAATCCGCAATGAAAAATCCGCATTATTATTTGACAGTTGTCAACCATTTGATCGACTTCATCGCATGGAACTTTTAAATTACGGTCTTCAATACCAAGTAAACATCAGCAATTCTATAATCAAAGAAATGAACATTTCCATACGAACATGGTGAAAGGGAAAGTATAATATTCAAATTCCAAAGTAATAGACTAAAAATCGGAATTCAGCCTATTAGCATTAGAACAGAAATACACTGTTTGGATTACTTGCATAACTTGTTTTGACATGAAATAGTACCTTTCTCTGACATGGAGAAATTTCGCTATCAATGAAAACCATTCGAACCGAATACAGATGAAACAAAAGGCCAATTCAGTATCTAAAGCCGTCGAACCAGAACGGATTCCGGTTTGAAATGACTCGTAACCATGCGAAAAAAATTTCGCTCTCTAATAATAGAGATAATTCTCTTGGATAACACATGTGATAAACTATTTCAAAGACATCCGAATTACACATTTTTAACGAAATTAGAAACGACTTCAAAATGGATTTCTGGATCTACCACATCATTTACAAAATATCACCTTAAAAATTTTGCTTTCCAATTCTGACATTTAAAAGCTATTCCCACTGTTACTTAACAATTGAAATCGGTATGTACTGTTTCAAATTATATTGCCGGCAGTTGAAGCGTATCGTATTTTTGTTAACTTAAAAGCGAATTGATTAATTCTATAAATTTTAGCTATCTAATTAGATAGCTAAAAATCTATTCGAATATAAGCTATTTATACCACTGTTGTAAAAAAAAAAAAATTCTTCAATAAGTGAAACATTTTGATCTTCATAAGTGCATTCGAGTCATGGAAGATGATAAACTGTACAAATCTTGATAGGTTTTTATCTTGCAAAACTAAATCCGGAGTAATACCGTATAATTTTTTCCCACATCCCTCACGATTTTGACATGGTAATCTAATATGATTAACTTGCTTTCTTTATCACAAACATTTAAAATAAATTAGCATAATACCAATCTTTTTATTGATTTAGTGTCTTCGGCTATATTGTTGTGCGACAATTAATAAATTTTTTATTAGGATTCAACATAAAATATTCGAGTAGATATCACGCCAGTACAATTACAAGCTCTATTTAATATTTAAAAAAAAAAAAAAAAAGGAAGTACAGACTTTAAAAAAATACCGCAATCCTTTTTCTTTTGAAGCGTTTTTGACTAAAGGAAGCTTGAATTTAAAAAAAAAAAATCCAATTAGTCTTATATATTGAACACCTTACCTTCATAAAATAATATTTGTCTAACTTCATGGAAAACGACACAACGTATTTTGTTTGAATTCTTTTGGTATGCCCATGTCTAGAATTATCTTTTGGCTAAACTCGTAGTTCCGATCTAGCAATTTTGATTTTCATCTGTAATTCTACAGACTGTCTTTCAGCAAAAAATGATTTTATGGCTCAATAATATTCTTTTGATTTCCTTTCGATACTTTTGGGACCGAAATTTTATTTTGAAGCTGCCATATTCTCGTGACACATATACTCATGAAACTTCCCTAAGCGGAGCACCCATGGTTCTATAAAGTTTTGGTCTTCTGTGGCGATGGTCGTTTTAGAGAACATAACCATACGAACATATATTTTCAGTAATACTGCTCACTTTTAGAGGTGGTCATCATAAGACATTTTGCCGAGTTTGTTTATCACAGTATGTATAAAATTTCCTCGGCTGAGGGTATAATTATTCTGGCGAGTTAAAAGCAGTAAAAGTATAAGTTTATGTAGTATACCTGTTAAACATATAGGTTTATGTAGTAAACACCTAAGTTTATGTAAGACCTAAAAATCTCTTTCAAGACAAGTATCTACTATTCCTTGAAAATACAAGTTCACCCACTAATATTATTTTAAACATACAAGAAGAAATTTCTCAACGATTTTTTCATCTGCTTCTCCAGTACTATATTACTTCAGTACATTAACAGAAGTGGAAAGATTATTATTGTCGAGTGCCCCTCTCAGGAAACCACAAGGAAAAAATTAGGAAGTCAAGTCCGAGAACAAGGAGGTCAAAGATTCTTCGAGATGATGCGGTCATCAAACAGCTGTTTCAGTAGCGTCATTGTTTCGTGTGATTTACAGCATGTCGCTTCATCTTAGTGCTCTCAGCAAAGTTACCAACTTAGGAAGGTATCATCATGCTTTGCTTTTTCTGCTTTCTATTCCATCACAATAAATTATTAACACTTCGTTGACTGCACTTTATTTAAGAGAGGCATGACTCATTTCTTATTCTCTTTTTTGTTCTAATAAATTTATTTCTCGTCTTGCTTTTGTTAAGTTTTGAAATATACATTTGATTAAAAAAGCATGTAATACCTTCCTCTTCCTATAACAAAATTTAAAAAGTCCAGGAAATTTTTACATAGCATATATTCGAAGTATTACTACTCTTACGTAAATGTTTCATTAATTGCTCTGCATGTTGAATCATTATATGAGGATAAATTGTAATATAAAATAGAATTCAAAGGTAAGTCTCACGTGCACCACACGCAATACACGCAAAATGAATTCTCCAAAGCTTAAATTTCTGCTTAATTCGTATTATTGCAATCCGTAAGCGGTAAACGAAATAAATGCTACTCCAACTGAAAACAATTGATAGTTCAATGCAGATTGTGGTGCTAATATAACAGGTTTATGAAAAAAGTCATATTACAGTTCGAATTTATTGATATGCAAACATGATATATTAAAACAGGAATAAATTTTGAAACTGCTTTTATATTTTTAAATTTTGTTTTAAAACATTTCAAACAAAATATAGTCGGTCTCCTTCGTTGTAATAGTTTAGCCTTAGATAATCGTTTTGTTTGTTTTCTCAATACCATATTTCATTTATTGTTTACAAATAATATTCTTTGGTATTTCACAGCCGAAATTAAAACTTACATCTCAGCAGTTTCAATGCCCATGACAAATCAACACGTAATGCCATACCCACCCCAAGAATGAATGACAAATTTTATGGAACTGTTACCTAGAAGATATTTAATTGTAATGGTAGTTCTCGACTATAAATCGAATCAAGCGCAAGGAAGACACTAATGTTATTTGGAAAAAGTTCAGGCGAAAGTCTGAAATTAATTGCTTCAAGGTGTAATAACTATCGTGAAATTTAAGGTATTGAGTACAGAGACTTTCCTTTGGATAATTCGCTCAATGTTTAAAGGAAAATTTCGTGGTAATTCTTCGATTTCTTCAAATATAAAATAATGAAACGAACAACAATCCTTATTTATCTTAATTATGAGTTGTTTTTTTAAATATAGATACGACGCCTATATTTATTCGTACATTCATATAAAAACATCAGAGGTCCAAAATTTCCGGACATTTTGAAAAAGAACTGAATGAATACTTTTTATATCTCGGTTGGGAATAGTGGTGAACATTAAATTATTGAAAACAGTCACAGGCCGTATCTTTGATTTCAAGTACTTATGTTGAAACTCCGATAGACGTTCCTTTAGAGGTCTCAAAAAAGTAAACAGATAACATAAGGTGGTGTTACAGTTTTACTCCATCTGTGACTTTGCAAAACAAACAAGACATTGATAAAATATCAGTTCATCCTAATCTACATACCATGCCATCCAGTGATTTCACGTCGATTGTACCCAAAAAAAGGTGTAAAATGAGTAACTGATATTTTTCGAAAAAGATCATTGTTAACAATGTATTAAAAATTATAACAAAAACACATCTAAGAAAATTACATACCACATTAACAGGAAATTCTAGAAAAAATTTCTAAAAGCTAAGAAAAAAAATGTTAAGTTACATTTTCATACCGACATCTAATACCTATTTAATGCACACCGGCATTTCAATGTAACGCCAGGGAGATTTTAGTGGGATAAATTTGAAATTTGCAGAGTATCTGAGATTCGTAATGGGATTAGTTTTCATATTTCGATGTGAATTAAGAGAATGCAGTTCATTTTATAAGAGGAAAATGGTTATTTATTTAATATATATATTAAAAATTTTATTCATTTATTAACAGCTTTCTCGTGAATTTTCCAATTTTTTTCCAAAAAAATTGCAATTCTGCTTTTACCAGGGCAGTAATTATACTAGAAAATGAGAGCAAAAAGGAAGTTAAATAAATATTTTAATAAATTAATTTTTAATAAGCAATCGTTAAATATTATGCAGCATCCAGATTTTTTACATGGTTGCGTTAATAAGAGTAACAAAATGCATTAATTCTGCCCATTGTGCTAAAACAAGTAATCACCAAAAAAGTGTACATGAAAATGGTATACAAACAAAGCAAGCAAACATACCTGAAACCTGTATTATTAACATGTATACATCCTATACTACAGCTTAAGCCGGTAAGAAATTGATCGCAGTACAGTACAAACAATCTGTCAGTTGAACTATAATCCACACAACAATTTCAAGTCATATTCGGCACTAGAATCACAATGCCTTTCAAAAGTAATTCCACGCTGTATATAGAAAAAAACGTGTCATACGTTAAGTCGGAAAAAAATTGCGCCAGACAGCTTCTCTGCGGCGCTACAGTCCTTTTCCACAACTAAGATGGTTGATACAGAATCTGCATTCAGAAAGCTAGCCTTCACTATGTTCCTGCAGGGTTGCTGAGTTGGCTGAATGAAGGTTGTGATCTCGCCAAGCTCGTTATCGGTGTGGTCGCCAACATTTCCGAACGGAAGGAATGTTCAAGCTTGACGCAAGTTTTTGTATTGGGCAAAGAAACTGAATTTAACCATTTATAGATATTTATTACATTACTGTTATCTGTTGCGGATGATAAGCTATCACAGATAATTGTTTGAAGAAGAAATGATTACCAGCCGAGCTTAATTTCTAAAATAAAAGTGCCGGAAAATAAAATAATAAAAATGTATAAAATAACAATAAATCAAACAAAGTAATGCGTAATTAAAATTAAATGTAATGCAAGTAATAAATTAATATAGTCTATCATTTAAATCAAATGGAATAATAAAAACATTCAGGATGGAGGAAAGAATAAATATGTTGATCAAATGATAAAAACTGCTTCATAATAATGTAATTTCTTGTTAGTATTACGTATCAATTGCACAATAAAATATCGGAGCTCACTTTATTTGAGCCACCACTAGGTTTTCGTTAAAAACATTTAAAAACAGTGCATCCAGACTATGGTGGCAAGGGCAGGACATCCGTCCCCGGGCACAACATTCAAGGGGGGCCAAGCTGATGTTACATAATTTTAAAATTATGTGTTTTCCATTCTTAGTAAACAGGAGGGGGGAGGCGCAATTTACGGCTTTTTGATATGGGCTCCAGCTGAGTTTCCTGATTACTAGAATAAGTAAATAAAAAACTTCTCAACTTTTGATTTCTGCGGAAATATTCCGTAATAAAAAATCAGCAACTATTGCTTAAAAAGATGATGTGATGTATTTAATTATGGCAAAGCACACTAGGGCTATCTGCTTAAGGGGAGGGATGCCTTTCTAAGAGAAACTGGCTCGTATACACGTTACACATGGGGAAAACCACGAAAACACCCATGCAGCCAGCCCGTTCGCGGGATTCGAACCTCGGACCGAACTACTAGTGTTCAGCGACTTTACCGCTCGGCCGCTGGTGGGCCCTATTGCTTAAAAAGATTATTAAAATTACATTGACAAAAATGAAATTAAGCGTTTGTATGTGAAATATTAGCTGCTCATATTCCAGTTCATATGCAAATAAATATATTAATAATATTCATATCAAAAGCAAATATTTGGGTTTTAAGATAATAAACATTTATTTAGCGTGAAAATATTAAACATGCAATAATTAGAATGAAATAACTATAACAATAAGTGTATACAGAATTCGTAAATCCAACTCATGTTTTATATTACATTCTCTATTTTGTCATTTTATTACCACAGATATATAAATCATATCATTCCTAAAATACTTTCCTGAGCAATCCGATGTGATAATGACGTGAAAATTATATTTAAATCGGCGAAGTGTTGAAAGTTATTAAATTAATTGAATTTCTCATATTTTAGTTGAAAATTGAAAATATTTAAATTTGAAAATCAGTACATTTTGTTGACAATAAGTGACTACAAAGAAATAAGTGACTACAAAGAAAATAAGAGACTAAGACTAAAAGACAATAAGTGACTACAAAGAAACAATTTAAAATAGCATTTAGTGAAAACAAAAAAAGAAGGGATTCCACTTCTTTCAATTCAAAGAAAAAATCATGTGATAAATTTTTAATAGGTACTTATCAGCAGTCGAGCGACTTGTATTTGAATATGGCAAAGGATACGAAAGCAGTATTCGTAAAGAAAGGGATGCCTTCGGAGAGAACTTCTCAAGGGAAACTGGCTGGCATTCACATTTCACATGGAGAAAACTAACCAATCAGCCCGCCCATTCGCTTAGGTTAGAACCCAAGACCAACTATCAGAATTCAGCAGATGGCTATCCGTGGTCGAACGGTAAAGTCAATGAATATTGGTAGCTCGAAGATGGCAAACGGGCTAGCAATTCCTAGCAAACGGGCTGGCTGCAGGGCGTGTTTTTGGGCATGTGTAACATGGGTATGACCGAGTTTTCTTTAGAAAGTCCTCCATAAAGGTATCCCTGTCCTTAGGCAGATAGCCTTAACGTGCTTTGCCGTACTAAAATAAACTAAATAGTAATCAGCAGTCTTTAACCGCTTGCCACTTGCGGGGCGTAGCAAAATGGATAAATGCTTTGAGTAGGTATATTCATAAATAAAAGCCGAACATTTTGCTGCTTGAGTAAGCAACTAGTGAATAAAGCAGTACATGACTAGTGAATATGAATGATTAGTGAATAAAATTAGCATAATATATGTAAATATTCGTTTGAAACATTCAAGTAAAGAAATATTTGAGTATCAACTTATCGAAAACGAAAATGTATGCAAATTAAATTGCCTGCACAATCTCATAGAAAAGAAAATTGTCTAGTTTTCGTTATTCAGAGAATGCAAGTAAATATTTACGGTCTGTAGCTGCATTCTGCATATCACATAAACGCGTTTCTGATTTGACTCAGCGTAAAGCAATAAATCCATCTCTTAATTGGAGAATTCCGCCTCTTATGAGGGATTTATGCTTTAAACCCAGAGTAGTATCACAGCTGCAAGAGTAACTTAATGAGCCTGAAGATGTGTCAAAGAGCCCCAATCTAGCTCGTCTGAGGCATACAGTGGCAAGGAAAGACCCCTATTTAGCCTTATTAACGAGGAGGCATAGAACGTGTGCTACCAGAAATTTGTCTTTATAGCTCTCAGCAGCCTCTAGCGTAAATATATCAAGCAAAACTATGCATCGGAATGGTTCCTGCCATTTCTATCTACCTTACAATTCATCTAAAACTTTTGCAAACATCATTCATGCAGTGTAGATAATCGTCGTCAATTTATCTGAATAAAACCAGTAACACAATATCAACCATCAGTTTAAAGGGAAAAAAGATTCCTTTGGAGGTGGAAATTTATTAATGAAAACTGAGATAACATTAAATAGCCTTAGATTCATGTATTTTCGGAAAGAAGCAGTATGAACGTTCTGCGCTGAGGCGTTAGATCCTGTATCACTATGCCAGACATTTTTGTTGAACTATTGCTTTTATCTTCCTCTATGGGAGTTTCTGTGATTTTTTCGCACGTGTAACGTGAATACTTCTTCTTTAAGAATTTCTCCTTTAGCTTCTCCTTTAGCATCTCCTCCACAAAGGCTTCCTTCCTCTTACGCGGACAGCCCTCGAGTGCTTTGCGATAACCAAAATAATTAAATCTTCTGTTTTTCTGGAAAACAGAAGTCCTGTTAATAGACAATAGTCCATAAATTTAGCCTGATATAGAATGTATGGAATTTATGCTGGCAGACAAGCTGCTCGAGTCCGCTACCATCCACAGCTCTTTAACAGTTAGGAGAAGCAAGTTTCGAAAATTGGATTAAACTTGATATAGCTGATATAGCTCACATGATATAGCTGATATAAGAGATCTTCCTGTTACAAGTTAAATGCGCTTTTATGTGTACAAAAGAGTATTTGGAGTACTGCGCATGCTCGCGCCATTGCTGTGTGTGTTTTCTTGAGCTCTGATTTTCAGCTTTATTTTGCGATAATTAATGTGTGTAAACTATTTATTGTGTATAATTTTATTTGTGCAAGTGCTCAGCTTTATATTTGTGCAATTTGTTTCAAGTTAAAAGAAGTTGATATTGTTAATATTATGGCTCTTGCAAGATTTCGGTATGGTTAAGCCTAGCTTAACGATTTGTTTACTTCTTTGAGTAGTGCTACGAAGTAAAAGAATGCCAAGATGGACGAAGACGATGATGTGTTTTATAGTGCGCTTAAATGTTGCTATGATAAACTTGAAACGGCTATTGAGTCAAAGTGTAATATGAACCAGAATATTCGTGAAGAGGCAAGGCATGCAATGTGTGAGTTAAAGTGTTTGATTACTAAGAATTTTGAACGTATTAAGTCGTTGGGTTACCGTGAAGCTTGTAGGGAAAATCTTAAAGACATTTTCGTAAAACCAACGTATGCTAGTGCTGTGCTGACATCTCCTGTGGAGAATGCAAAACAAAATTCTTTAAGTTGTGGTCTTGTCATTTCTTCGGAAAATCGTTCGTCAGAGGATATTAAGAAGATTCTTAAATTACAAATTAATCCTGTAGAGAAAAAAGTGGGTATTCTCAATCTAAAAAATATTGGAAATGGCAAGGTATTGATAGAATGCCCCTCTGAAAATGATTTAAAAAGGATACAAACTGAAATTCAAGTAAAATCACTGGAATTAACTACCTTTCCTTCCAAACGAAGGAATCCTACGATCTTAATAAAAAATGCCCCTAATGAGATAAGGGATGAGGATGTTTTAAAAAATCAAAATCCAGATGTTATCGCCTCTGAAAATAAATGGAGTGAATCTCGAATTCGATTTACGTTAAGGAAATTTCAAAATACGAGACATTTAGTTGTTGAGGTGCATCCAGACATGCGTAGAGGTATATTACAGGAATGTAGACTAAAAATTTCTTGGAGCATCTGTACGGTGGATGATTTTGTCGTGATTAATCGGTGTTTTAATTGTTTGGGATATAATCATCGTGTTGAACATTGTAAAAATCTACGCACTTGTTATTTCTGTGCACGTGAACATGAAAGTAAAAATTGCCCACATAAGAATTTGAAAGTCTATATCAATTGCATTAGACGCAATCAAAAAATAAAAGATGAGAAAAAAAAATTAAATGTAAGCCATTTGCCTTTTTCTGAAAGTTGCTCTTGTCATGAATTTATAAGAAGTCAAAATATAGTAAGAACAAATTATGGATAATAGTCATAATTTTATTTTAAAATTTGTTCAAATTAATTTACATAGATGTAAGGCTGCTACTACTCAGCAACTTGTTTTGAATATGGAGGTAAACAATGTTTCTGTTGCTTTTATTCAAGAACCTTACTCTTATCATGGTCTTATGCCTGGCTTTCCGAGTTCCTTTAGGTTATACTATGATTTTAACTCAGAGGTCATAAAGGCTGCTATTGTTGTTCGAGCCGGATTTCTACCTACTTTT